AAAAAAAAAATAAAAAATTATAATAATATTTATAAGTTTTATAGTTCGTAAATCTAGTGTTAAAAGTTGATTAAATGATTGATTTATTATTTGTATTGGTTAAATGTAGAATATTACTGACCCGCCGTTGTAAGGGAGATGCTGATCCGAACTGCTGGGCGTTTGATGCTCGAACACACTGCTATCGGGAGCCGTTTCAGAGGCCGCTCTCATTTGTGCCCTATGAAACCTGACCTCATCCTCGACCTTCTCCCTCTGTTTCTTTGACATACGCCCAAATTTAACGGCTGTGAAAGGAAGAAGTTTGTTTACTCTAACACGGCTTTTGTTTTTTTTTTGTTTTTGTTTATTTTTTTTGGGGGGGTTGGGAAAAAGGAAATAACATATAGGTCTCTCTCTCTCTTTCTCTCTCTCTCTCTCTCTAACCCTTTTCATCTTTTATACGCTTATTTTGCTGATTAAAAGTAACCAAGGGCTTAGACGAATGAATGGCAGTCGAATCCGTGGAAAATCAGAGTTCTATTTTGATGGATACGAATATTTAACAAACGTAAGGGTATACATATATGTATATATGTGTACAAATGTATATAGGTTGTTGTTGGATGTTGAATGTTGGATGAAAATTCAATATTTTTCTATTTTTATTATATAGATTTTTATTATTATTAAAAATGAATCGTAATAAATCGCGATAGTATCAATGAAAGGTTAACTAAATTTGTTATTCAAAATATATCGTATAACACATATATAAAATACATATAATATATTATTTTAATATAATAATTAAATAAATAATATATAATAATATATATTTAAATAATAAAATATAATATAACATAAAATATAGTTTGTAAAAAAAAATTAAACAAGAAACTTGTAGGATCTAATATTTTTTTCCTAATAAATGTTAAAAATCCTATTATAAAATTTGAAATTGAATTGTTATTGATAACAAATTTTTGTTAAATAACAAATCAAAAAAGGAAAGTTGTTATACATTCGGTATAAGAAATTTTCAAGGTTCCCGACCTTGAGGGAGAGGTAGAAAGTCATATGGTCGATTCTATGGGGTGGTGGTGGTGGTGGTGGTTGGTGGCGGTAGTGGCACGCGTTTACTCCACTTAGGAAATCTGTGGAAACTCGAGCGTAAAATAGGTACGTATCGAGAGGTCGATCGTGATTTCAGCACGTGACTTTCTACCCCTTCCATCCCTAACCTTTCCCTTCTCATTCTTTCCCTTCTCCCCGTATTCTCATTCCTGTTTAAAAGGGGTGGGAAACAGTAGGATGGTAGTAGAACGCGGAAGTTTGACTCGTTTTCGTAATATATATATATATGTATGTAACTACCCCTTCTCGTTCTGTGTAATGACGTCATACATACATACATACATACATATATACATATATTCGTAGAAAGATATTACATACGTCATAGGAGGTGGGATGGATTCGATAGATCGATAATCATCTTGGAATTTCTCTGATGCCTTTTAAAAGTCACATTTCGAAATATTCAAACCCTCGTGTGAAAAAATAAAATAAACCCTGTGAGGAGGTCAATCAATTTGTATAAATCAAATTTGTTATCCTAAAAAAAAAAAAAAAACTGGGTTACACTTGTCTTTTTCTCTCTGGTTACTTTGGGATTACTTATGATTTTGTTTAATTAAAAAAAAAAATAAATAAATAAATAAAAATTATTAAACAAATAAGACATCATAGAAACTAACCATAATTTTGTTGTTGTTGTTGTTGTTTCTTTTTTTGAGATTAATCCTATTTTTATGCATTATACAAAATGCATTATAGAACAAAGCACGTAAGTTTGTTTAATTATTATATTTACAATAATTAATAATTACATGAAATGGGGGGAGAGGTTGATTTTGTTAAAGCAAAATTAAATGGCCTGAATGACAAGTCAGGTAAAAAGGGCTTGGCATGGAACGTGTTAAAAAGCTAAAGGTACAAACCTTTGTACTTTATATATAAATAAACGAACAAATATACATTTCATAATCTTTCTATTTATTTTAAACATAAATAATAAATAAATAATAAAAAAAAAGGCTGAATAATTAAAAAGAGATCA